AAGTGACAGAGTCATGAAGGAATTTCTGGACTGAGACAACACAAGGTTTCTGGACCCAGTAAGAGCTGTGGCTGAAGAACAGTGGGGGGCCAGGACCAAGACATGGAGGAGTAAACCTAGACCTTGCCTGTTACGTGAATTGTTCCAATCCAGAGAGAAAGGAGTCACCTTTTAACAGTCTCAAATGCTTCAACTGCAGAGTGGCAATGGCAGGGTAGTAGTCTGGAATATTACATAGCTCCCTGGAGAAGGTAGGGGCCCTTCAGAGAGGGAAGGACAATCCTCTTGACTTTATGGGCTCAAGTGAAAATACTTTGTGCTTTGAGTTTGTATCACTTAAATGAAGCTAATCAATGTATTGTTGGTGAGATGAATGAAAAGCCTGAGATAGGGTTTCTGGGTAATTAATAATCAATTTATTAATCGATTTATTTGCTAGCCTACTGGCTAGCAAAAAAATCTTCCTTTATACAAACTTTGTGAATGTTGTGGCTGAGGTGGGACAGAGGTCATGGACAATGAGCAGATTGAGGAACTAGGAAACTAGGGTGTTTGAGGGAGTATTAATGTTCATGTTAAAATCACCTAGAACAAGGAACAAGAACAGAAGTAGAGAAAGACTGAGATAAGCACTGAATATGTTGAAGAAGGAAAAAGAGAGCTCTGCAGGTTAGTAGACAATAGCTACAAGAATCTTGATTGGGTGATAAATTTGGGTTGGATGAGCCTTAAAGGAGGAGAAGTAACAGTAATGGTGATAGAGGGAGATTCTCGAAGTTGCAATGGGAACCAATAAGTATTCTGACTCCAGTAACATAAACAGTTAGTCATGGTATATGAGTGAAAGAGCTGGTCATACCCTTGATTTTGTCATCATTCACAAGTGTTCCACTTCCATATTTGTAAACGCTAAAATTCCTTTGTCATAGCACAATCTTTTATCATTCCATCTTTTCCTCCACATTATTACCTCCATTCCTGTTCTTCATCCTGTGACCTCCAGTCTCTCTACTCCTAAATTCTTTTCCAGATTATCACCTTTGTACTGGTCATATTCTCCTTCCTTTCCTATCTCAACCCCTCAGTGAATCAATTAAACTCTAGGATATATACTTGAGCCTCTATACTTGAGTCCTCTATACTTGAGTCCTTTGCCCCCTTATTCTATTACTGATTGTGCCTTGTCAAGACACAATATTGGATTGCTTCCAATATCTACTGCCTTTGATCCTATTCAGAGAACTGGAGAAAATCATAAACTGATGCTGAGTTCATTAATATAAATAATAACAACTAATATTTATATAGCACTTAACTATGTGCCAGGCACTGTGCTCACCACCTACCTCCCAGGATTATTGTGAGGATCAAAGTGAAAGGACAGCCAGTGGTGGAAAGAGTATCAAGGAAATCAGGAAATCAGGAGGGAGCCAGGTCTCAGTGAGAGCTAGAAGATGGAAGGAGTGGGAAAGGAAAAGTTTAAGATGAAAACAAGTTTAACTATGGAGCAGGCATTCCAGAGAGAGCTCAGTGGAAAGGGCAGGTAGATCTAAAGTGGGATATTTTGAGAGTAGGGTTGAAAGGCATAGGAGTGAGTGGGCAGTTCTGGATGATGAATTGGTTTATATGACATCCAGGGGTTCAGAATCACTAGGATGAAGGAAGAGGGAGGTAGGAGTGTGTTAATCACTGAGGAATAGGTCCAGGCAGAGAATCAGTGACTGGACAGAGGTTTAGTGAAGGAAATGGGTGATTAACCTGTTCAAGGTCCTTGCTTGAGGTAGAACCTTGTGGCAGGTGATGATCGTGTGCCCTTGCAGCCCACCTCACAGGTGGCAGGATTAGACAAATAAATTGCTAAGGCAGTCTAATAAGGAGTCAGGGTAGGGCAATGTACCTAAATAGGCATATATGGAATATATACAAAATAAATATTTAGCAATTTTGGCAGGGAATGCACTGGTAGTTGGGAGGTAGGGAACAGAGTAAATCAGGAAAGACTTCATTCATTCATTCATTCATTCATTCATTTGTGGCTAGGCAATGGGGTTAAGTGACTTGCCCAGGGTCACACAGCTAGTAAGTGTCAAGTGTCTGAGGCCGTATTTGAACTCAGGTCCAAACTCAGGAACTCAGGGCCCGTGTTCTATCCACTGCCTCACCTAGCTGCCCCAGGAAAAGCTTTTTGAAGAGGGTAGTGCTTGAGCTCAGGCCTGAAGGTCTGATCCAAAAAACAGAGATGAAAAGAAAGTTTATTCCAGGCATGGGAGAGAGCCAATGCAAAGGCAGAGGGGAGAAATGGAGGCCAGTTTGGTTAGACCATAGAGTACATAAAGGGGATTAATGTACAATAATAGAAAGATAAGTTGGGGCCAGGTTAAAAAGGGTTTTCAAAGTCAAACAAAAGACTATATTTGATCTCGGAGGTAACAGGAAACAACTGGAGTTGAGTAGGAGAGTGACATGGACAGACCTGTGCTTTAGGAATATTATTTTGATGGCTCCATGGAGAATATATTGGAATGGGCTGAGACTTGATAAAAGGAGAACAATTAAAGAGACTATTGCAATAGTTCAGGTGAAAGGTGAGGAAGGCCTGACCTAGAGTGATGGGTATGAGGATGGAGAGAAGAGAATGGATCTAAGAGAGTGTGAAAGGAGAAATAACAAGATATGGCAACTAATTCAATATGTGGGATAGGGAAGATGAGGAGTCAAGGATGACGTCAAGGGTCTGAATCTGGGAAAGACATTGACAGAACAACAAGAACAACAAGGAAATAGATGAGATTGCAAAGAAAAACTGTGCCCAGAGAAGAGAGCCTAGGAAAAAGCCTTAGTGGAGACCTACATTTAGTTGACAGGGGGAAGGCAATGAATCTATGGAAAAGTCTGAGAAGGAATGGTGAGAAAGGTAGGAGAGCCAGGAAAGAGCAGTTATCACTTAAGTTCACAGGAAAGAATACGAATTTCCTTTTCATATGGCTGTATTGACTAAAGACCACCTCTGATGAGCTCACCTCTCCTGGGTCTCCAAAGTCAAATCTATGGGGGTGGAGGGGAGAGGTGAGAGGGGCCTATTGGTTGGGATGCTTCTTAGTGGTACTTGTTTGCAAAATAGAAGCAAATGCCATCCTGCGGTGTGAAATAGCAGGCCCAATTGTGTGGTAAGATAGATGAATGCCGAAGGGAATTTTAGGGAAACCTGGGAAGACTTGTATGAACTGACACAGTGAACAGAACCAGAATAATCTGTACAATAACAACATTGTAAAGAAAAAACTTGAAATACTTAAGAATTCTGATCAACACAATGACTAACAACAATTCCAGAGGGTGGATGACGAAATGTGCTCCTCACCTCCCAAGAGGTGGTGGACTCAGGGTGCAGAATGAGACATATTTTTTGGACGTGTCAAATATGGGAACTTTATTTAGCTTGATGATGCATATTTGTTGTAAGAATTCCCACACACACCCCCACCCACCCACCGCGGGGTGTGGGGGGAGTGAGGAGAGGGGAAAGGTGGGAGAGAGGGAAAATAGATGTTAGTAGGACACAAAAAAAATGAATTTTTAAAAAGATTGATGGATAATTAATTTAGATGCCAAGTAGTAAGACAGTTAAAAGACTGACAGCTTCTACCCATCAAGAAAAGGCTGATCATTCCATTAGAGAAATGGAGAGTTCCTGCTGGTTCTGTAAGGGGACACAGTGTAGTATATGGAGCCTCATAGTTTATATCTCATTCAGTTCACTTCAACAAACATTTATTAAGTGCCTACTACATGCAAGACATCATCTAGGCACTGGAGAGACAAAAATAAAGCAGTCCCTGCACTCAAGGAGCTTACATTCTACTGGAGGAAAACATGTACACAGATAATTACAAAATATATACAAAGTAGATACAATATAATTGGAGGAGGGATAGTGTTAACAATGTGGCAGAAGAGCAAAGCCCACTTAGAGGAGGTGGCAAGTGGGCAGACATTTAAAGGGAGCTAGAAGCTCCAAGATGCAGAGGTGAGGCAAAGCATTACCATGCATGTGGAACAGCTTTGTGTGGAGGGAAGCACAGGCACAGGAGGTAGAATATTTAATATGTATGGGGAACACCAAGCAGCCCAGTTTGTCTGGAATGTAGTGTGTGGGAGGGAGAAACATGAAATCAATTTGGAAATAGAAGCTGGAGTCACATTATAAAAGGCCGAAGTGAGGAGTTTTTATGTTACCCCGGAGGCATAGGAAGCCATTTAAACTTAGATCAGGGAACTTACATGTTCAGACCCATGCTTTTGGAATGTCTGGTTGGCAGCTGTCTGGAGAGAAGAGACTGGAAGTGGGAAGACCAATTAGGAATACAAGTCACAGGTGATGATGGTCTGAATTAGGGTGGGTGATCGTGTGAACAGGGGGAAGAGGATGGAGAAGAAAGCTGTTGGGAAGGTGGAGTCAACAAGACTAAATCTCAAGGACAAGGGCTCATAAATAATCATTGCTGGTTCAATCAGCAACATGGTTGGCAGTAAGGGTAAGTGGTTGGAAAACACAAGCAATCATAGACCTAACTCATGGGGAGGTGCCAAGACTTAGTGGAAGGTGCCAGAGCCCCAGCTTCCAGTGCTAATGCTGTCACTAACTAGCCACGGTGTCACATAGGCAACTTACTCCATCTATTAGGGCTTCAGATATCTGCCCTCAACTCCTCACAGGGATATTGTAAGGAGCAAATGAAATAATGGAGCTAGAAGCCTTTTGGTAAGTCTAGAAGGCAATACACAAGTACAGCATTATTATTATTATAAACGCTTAGGTGCCTAATGGGTCCTGGAAAAATTGGACAGCATATGCTATGGCCCTCTCTATTTTTCCCTCCTTTGTATCCAAGTGTGAATGTAAAAGGAGGTTGGGAATTGGGCTTGCCTATGAGAAACTCACCTTAGATCTCCATGCCTATGAATAGCAGCTCCTCACATTTTACACACTTATACACACATACCCAAACAAGTGTTTAATTAAAGAAATAAAATTGTTCTAAATACATTTTCATTTGCTTATACTGATTTACAACAACTCCCAAATTGTCTTTAGCTTGCTTACTCTTTAAAAAAATCCCCAAACTTCAATCCAAATACCAGTTCCTGAATGGGTACATTCCATGATTCAGAGCTGCATCAGCACACATATTAAGAGAGATCTGTTTGTCATGCATCTGCATCATGGAATAATATATTGTTGTGCCTCCCACAGAGACAACCTCCATCCTCTACAATATTCTTATATGGCAGCAGTGCTACATAACCTTCCCTCAGCTTTGCCCAACATTGAGATAGAATTGACTTTCTCTATGATTTGTGGCATTTCCCAACACTAGGGCAAAAATGCCCGTGTCAACAATTTAATAGAAGTGGCTTAAAATTCTGTATTAGTTAACACTGTTCAGGAAAAAGGTTTAAGAGTCTTTGAGCAAAATGAACACGGTGACTTTGTGATGCACATCCATAAACATAACACTGGCCAAAGTTGTGCTCTTTGTTACCTGTGAAGATGTAGTTTGTGCTCTGAGCCAATCCTGATCATCTCCTGTGGGTCTATGATTTCTTAAGGTCATACAAATACTCCCCCTAGAGCCCATGTTCTTCAGTTTGTCAAAGTTTGAAGAATATCCCTCTGTAAGTCTGCTCGTTCTTTTGACATCAAAGTCTTTGAACACTTCCATGTCTTTCTTGAGTGGCAAAGAGGTTCCTTCCCTCCCTAAACTACTGGAAAGACAAATCCATCTGAGTCATTAGCCCGTACTTCAAATCCCAGCTCTGTCATTTACCATCTATGTGACCTTGGAATAGTTTCCTTACCTATAAGATGGAAGGGGCTGAACTATATCAGTTCTCAACTAGAGTTTGTGAACCTGTTTTCTAAAAATGTTGATAACTATTTCAATAAAATTTTATTTTGCAATCCTATGTGTTTTATTTTATGCATTTAAAAATATATTTTTCTGAGAAGGGGTCCATAGGCTTCACCAGATTGCCCAAAGAGTCCACAAAACACAAAAAGTTAAGACCCCTTAGCCCAGATGATGTCTAAGTGTCATCCAGTTCCAATGGTCTATGATTCTGAGATGTGCAGCCCAAACAGAAGGCCCTGCCCCTGGACCTCACTTCCTAGCTTTTGACTCATCACAATGCTCCCAGTTGAATGCTCTGAATTCTTGTAATTAGAGCTTGGAACAATGATGCACCTTGGTGTTCATCACCATGCTTCATGTGCTGAATTTTGAGCCTTTCCTTCCTAAAGCACAGAGTGACCATTAGCTTCCAAAGGGAGTATCCCCAGGTAATCTGGTCCCTTGGGGCCATGAAACAAAGAAAATGCTGGCCAATGGATTTGCCTGGGCACATAAAGCTTGGCTGATAAATCTCTTCTTATCCAGGTCCATAGCCATATACCAAGGGCAAGTATTAGAAGATTTTGGCTGCATTCTTTCCATACCATCCAGGCTAGGAAGCCTGAATAGGGCACTTTTTTTGTACTTCTCTGCAAGGTTGATTTATGCTATATCCTCGTCTTCTTTGTATTTTTTTTTTATGGAAAAGACATACAATCCCTCAAAATGGCACCCACTATCCTAATCCCTCCCCCTAAGCGCAGACATTCTTTCAACAAAGATAACAGTGACAATTTCCATGCCAACAACTTTCAGCATCTATTGCTTCAGATGGTGAAGTTGATAGCAGGTCCCTCAGACGTCAACTGCTTGGCCCAAATACCCCAACAACCCCCAGCATGTGATGCTCTTGTTCCTAGACACAGGTAACACTGGATGATCTTTTAGACCTAAACACATTGAAGTTCTAAGGCTTCAATACAGTAGAATGAACAGGGAGAAAGCAGCCAGGGTGGTTAACAGACCTTAAAGTGCCCTGCATTACCATGAGAAGGCAGCAACCTTTGGGGTCAGGACTGAAGTTATTAGTCAGACAACTGGAAGATTAATAGCTTTTATCTTGTCATGAAAGATTTCCTCATTCCAGCAGTGACACCTCTGGCTTGGACGGAGTTAATGTGGCCTGGAATCTCAACTGAACTGGGACAGGTTGTTGTTGCTTTTTGCAGGGGGTGGGGGGAGGCAGAGAGGAACAGGGGTTGATTTGTTTTTGACATCTCCATTAGGTGGGCAGGTATTTTACATGAAATTCTCTTAGCTCAGATACTTCTAGACACAAAAGGGAACGTTAGGATTTACCTCAGAACACGCTGTCTTTCTCAATTAACTTGGATAAGGTAATTTACAAGGCAATACAAAGTACCTAGCAGTTTGTAGAAACTAAACTGGAGACAAGGTGATCCACAAGATGAGTCTCAGTACTACCCACTTAGGTACAGATCAGCTAATTTCCAAGGGCATTTTCCCCTGGAGCTTTAGCCACTCAGGGAAAAGGCATCCTAGACCACCCAACCTCTAAAACTTCTCTTGATGCACTGAAAAAAGTCAAGGTAATCCTGGCAGATGGTCTGCCCTGTTCTTCCCTGGCACCCTCCCTCCCCCAGCAGCTGGGCTCCACATAGGGGACCGTGGTGAAAAGTCAGGGACTATCTCCTCATCCTCTCTCTGTCACTTGCCCCAGTCCCATCCTTTTGTCCCTAATGGCTTTATATATAAAGAAATACAGCCCTTATAAATACTGTCTCAGGTGAATTCTGGGGGGATATGACGACAGAGAAGTTTCAGAAAGAAACAAAACCTTTTCCTGCTATCAGGAATTATAAATTGACAGGTGGGTGGGAGAGTCAAAGATCTGATGAACCTTCAAATCTCACAAAAAGGTCTGACAGCTGAGTTCCTTTCTTCCTTGGGGGTGAGAAGAAAGGAATCTCTTTCTCTCGGTCATGCATGTGTATACCCCATCCCTGCACCTAGAAGTGAATTTCAAGTCCTCAGAGTTGGGACTTCAGAAACCATTTGAATAGGAATCTCCTCTACAGTATCTCTAACAAGTCATTCAATCTCTACTTGGAGACCTCTAATGATGGGGAACTCACTATTTCCCAACACAGCCCATTCTATTTTTGGATAAGCTCTAGTTGCCCAAAATGTTTTTCTTTACATTGAACCTAAATATCTATCTCTGCAGCATCTACTCATTGCTTCTCATTCTGCCCTCCAGGACTGATGACAAGTATAATTATTCTTCTAACATGACTGCCTGATACCTGAAGGTAAGAGTCATATTCTCCTTAAAAGCCTCCTCTCTTCCAAGCAAATTATACCTAGGGTTTTGAATCAATGATTGTATGGCCTCTCACTATCCTGGTCTCCTTCCTCTCAACCTGCTCTAATTTGTCAGGGGCCTTAATAACTCAGAACTGAACTCAGGACTCCACATGTGGCTTGACCAGTGTAGAGTACAGTAGACCTATGAATGGCACTGGCTCTGGAGAAAGAGGACCCGACTTTAAATTCCACCTCTGACTACTACCACATGACCTTTGGTAAGTCATTTAAGCTCCTTGAGGTTCAGTTTCCTCATCTGTAAAATAAGGTTATTGGACTAGAAAGCTTCTGCACTCCTTCTAATTCTAGGTTTCTGATCCTGTGAACTCCTCATTTTGGACATGAGGTTTCACTGAATGCTCTTTATGATTGCAATAGCCTTCTACGGCTGCCAATGTCACACGGCACACTCGACTTAAGCATCTGCTAAATCCCTTGACTCTTCATGCAATCCCCTTGTCTAGCCAGGCCTCCCTCGTGATGCACCTGATTTCTTTTTCTAAACCCAAGAGTAGAATGTCACATTGATTCCTAATCAATTTCATCCTGTTAGAGGCAGCCCACAGTTGTGGCTGGCTCAACTTTGAGACCCCAACTCTGCTCTCCCGTTTGGAAGCCTTCTCGCCATTCCCCAACTTGCCAAGCACAATACCCTTCTCTTCATCTGACACAAGACGGTATTAATTTGGTAAATGTTAACAAGAGCCTCATTCTTGAAATGGGAGAATGTCAAGATTACACTGTGGGCCAATATCGTAAGGCCTCTTACAGAATGCAATTAAAGATGCTTTCTATTTACACTATTGCTCTACAGAGTGAATGCTATGAATGCCTAAAAAGTGGAATGCTTCTACTCTCCGAACTTAGCCTTGCCCCAAATGGAAGTGTCATGAGGACAGAGAACCTTGGAGAGTGGCTACTTGAAATCAGGCATACTTGGACCCCTTTAAGACTTAGCTAGTCAAAGAGACTGAGTCTGGACCTGTGATTTCTTAAGTATAGGGAACTCCTGGGATGAGAAATTCCCTCTACCAATGCAGGATGGCATCTTCTCTGAAACTCACGGTCTTAGAGGGCTGCTTAGAGCATTAAGAGATGAAGTGACTTGTTCAGGGTCACAAGGCCAGTATGTGTCAGAAGCAGGATTAGAATCCAGTCTTCCTGGTTTCTAAGTCAGCTTTCTATCCATTATACCATGCTGCCTCTCAGTCATAGTCAACCCAAACTCCCAAATCACAAACGGACTTTATTCAACCTAGGATAATGCTACCCCATCCAGGTCAAAGGGAAGGTGATAGGGAAGGAAGAGATTCTTCTGGAATCTTCAGTTCAGTTAGGACCCTATGGTCATCTTCAGCCCAAACCTCCAAGGTAAAGCTAAGAAAAATCTGACCTAAGGAAGTTCATGGATTCTGAAGAACTCTTTACAATTCAGGCCCTTTTCTCTTACATTTCCTGTTGGCTGGTATTCCACTGGGGACTATGCAATAAGTGGAAAGATAAACTGAAAAAATACCCAGGTCGTCTCTTCCTTGTATATGTATATGTATATGTATATGTATACTTTTTTTTTTTAAGGTACAAATACTGTTTCCTGACTCTGTCTTCATTCTTTTCTTCAATGTGAAAGAAAAATGACCACTAAGTTCTGGAGGGTAGATCTTGAGTAGCAATGACTAGCTTTTTGGACCAATAATTCTTTTCTAATCCTAGTCCCCAAGAAGACCCTGTTCTAAGATGACTTGTAATATCACAAATAAAAGTCCACTCAATGAAGCTTTCACTCGTGAGGATAACTTCATCCCCGAATAAAAATAAGAGCTGCATTGTATAGTTGTGCTAAGTACCATTCCCCCTACCGAGTCTCTGTAATTAACCTATCCTGAAAGTTTTCAATCTAAAACACAAGGTCTATGACCCTTCCTCTTTCATATGAATAGTGGTTTTCCCCTTCTTTTGAAATACAAACACCCTTGGGTGAGAACATCAAACAGCCTGGTCCTCAATGAATGATCAGCTCTCTGGCAAGGACAATCTCACTTCCCTCTGACCTGGCCCACCTATAACTTCAGCAACAAGCACTCACGAGCCAAACAGGTGGATGGTCTGGGCACCATCTCTTAGACTTTAATTCTTCATGTGCTGGGCCTTCTGCTAGACAGGCTCTCTGATTTTCTTTTTTTTCCCAGCACAGACTGGAATCACTGCACACAGCGCCTAAGGGCACACGCCAACCCAAAGAACAAGACACCAACCTGATACCCTTGGGAACAATGTAAAAGGATGTCCATCCTACAGAGTGCATTTACCTCTCTCTAAGGTTCTTGGTCCAACTCATTATGAGGGTCCCTGGGTCAAGAAGGTGATGAGTAAAGCAGCTAGTTCAACAGGATGACTTTGTGCTACATTCAAACTTCTTTGCCCCAACTTTGTGGACCTGGTAACACTGTCCTCTCAAAATACAACACAACCATGTTGTTTATCTATTACCCATCTGTTTATCTATGTGCCTTGGCTCCCCTCAGGGATAAAGTTACTAGAACCTAGAAGAGTGGCTACAGTGTACCAATGAGCCAAAACTCTTTGCCAACTGCAGCAGTTTTGTCTTTTCTTTCTTTTTTTTGGTGCTTGTACGTTAGCTGATTCTCCCCACCCCCCACGTGGTCCCTTCAAAACTGTGCCAACCCAGGGCCACAGCTTCCTTGGAGAAGGGTCTCGCTTTCTTGGCATCATGTGGAATGACATCTCTAGCCCTTGCCCCTGAGTGGTGTCTCTGGTCCCTCACTGATGGCCCCAAAGCTAAATGTTCCCTTCCTCAATGCTCTGCAGCTGCAGCCTCTGGCTAGTGTGAGTCCTACTGCCTCGGCGGCCCCCAAAGCCTCCCCCTGGCATGGTCCGAGTAGCCAGCAATACTCCAGGAAGAGCCTCCTCCCCAAACAAGCTAATCTTGGCATCCGCTTCGATGGCTCTCGCCAAACTGGCCGCGTAGCTGTCCAGGGACTTGTGCACTTCAGCCTTCACGTGGAGAATAGAGGTTTTGGCAGCTTCTGCAGCGAGAGGGAGAGAAAAAGGTTAAACAAATAACCGGACCCAGGTCCCATCCCTCAGAAGCTCCCCCTGCTGACTCACTGTCCCAGAAAACTTTGGATGGAGGATGCAGAGCTAACCTGAGGTAAGGAGCTCATCATGCCTGAAAGCTCCCAGTCATTTCGGCAATTACCGCAGGGCTTCTATTCCACTCTAACCCAAAGACTGAGAAGGACAACACTGAGCACCTACCATGTGTAAGGCACTGTCCGAAGCACGAATGAAATGCAAACATGAAAAGCGAACAACTGCCCTACTTTTTCCTCAAACTCCCATTTCCACACCTTTGCACAAACCATACCCTATACTCGAAATGTATTCCCATCCTCACTTCCGTCTTTTTCAATCCTGAGCTCCCTCCCAGGCAAGGCCCAGGTGCCACCTCCCCTAGGCAAAAGCCTTCCTAAGCATTGTTAATGTTCTCTCTCTTCTCAAATTACCTTCTACTTATATGAAATAATGTGCATAAAATACTTTGGAAAATTTAAAGCACTGTATGAATATCAATTATTGCAATTACTTTAATATGCATGTATATACAGATGTTTATACACACATACATGTACATACGCATGTACACAGATACAGATTGCACATGCACATGTATATCTGCACACACATATACACACACACACATGTAGTATGAGCTCCCTGAAGGGACAGACTATTTTCTTGGTTAGTAGGTTTGTTTTGGAATCCCCAGGGCCTATCAGAGTGCTTTGCACATAGCAGGTGTTACTTGTTAGATTGAGCTGACCTAATCGAAGGAGCGAATGTTAGGGGAGCGATAACTGGATAAGAACCTCACCAAGGGCTTTCTAAAACCCAGAGAGCCACTTAAAGGGCCTGTCCCACATTCAGATCCCATGACAGCATCTCTCCTCATCCCTCACACACTAAAATGGCCACAGAGGTCACGCTGTCTAGTGGATAAAGTCCTGGACCAAATTCAAATCCTGCTTCAGGCACTGACAAGCTGTGTGATTCTGGGCCAACTGCTGAGCCTCAGTTTTTTCATATGTAAAACAGAAATAATAAAATATCTACCTCATAGGGTTGTTCTAAGGGTCAAATGAGATAGTGTATGTAAAGTGCTTTATGAACTCGAATCATCATCACAATCATAGGAGCACTGAGAAAGACTGAAGATTCACATGGCAGTCTTTGCCACAGCTAAGTAGGTGCTTTTATTGGGTATATCTGTCCATTTTACAGATCAAAGCAACAGGACACATTTATAAAGCACTTTCTTCACAACAGCTCTATGAAGTAGACAGTATGTTATTATTATTTCCATTCTACAGATGAGAAAGCTGAGGCTAAGGGATTTGCCTATGGTCACACACTAACTGTAGTAGCAGAGACCCCAAACCTAGGTCTCCTGAACCCAGCACTCTACTTATACTCTTTCTGAGCTTAGTAAACGCTTGTGGATTGTTGACTTGTTGATTCTGCTGCCTCTGTAGAAGGAAACTGATTTACAACAAGGGCCTGTGACTAGGTCATATTGAGATTCAAGTAGGAGACTAGGCTTTCAAAGTTCTAGTTTGGGGCTGAGAAGGGCATGTTGAGCCCAACTTGGTCTTCTAGTACAACTTCCTCTGTGAGTAGGTGTGGCTCTTTGGGGGTTCAGGAGGAAGTGGTAGGAAGGCAAATCAAAAAAGAATTCAAGAGGAGCCCAATCCACTGGCCAGCCTGGGGCAGGAGGCTTGTGTAATATTCCCAGATTTCTCCAGGCTTTCTTGGAGTAATCCCATCACAGGAACAAACCTTTCATTTGCTCCACTTCATCTTCAAACGTCACTGAACTCCGTCTCTTGGGAGGGCAAGTGCATCTCGAAGGAGGATTGTCATCAGAACTGTAATCTTCAAGTAGCATCACATCAGTCCCTGAAACACAGGTCAGATTTTTCAAAATAACAGAAAATACCAAGGCCACTCATTTTCCTTGGAGGCTAGCAACAGCTTTAGCTTTCCCCATTCTTTCCTATCTCCATTTCATTCATTTAATCTGACTTTTTTTAGGAGGGAGGAGGCTCCAGACCTGTGATTTCATCATGAGTATACTCCTTGTGTGAAAACTCTGTCCACTGACAGAGATTAGCAACTCATCTGTTATTTATAGGCTTAGAGTTTACTGGCATACTGAGAGGTTAAATGACAGCTAGATTATGCCAGGCAGAATTTGGACTTAGCTTTTCCTGACTGGTTCTATTACACCATGCTGCCTTTCGTTCAATCCAATTAAACCAATTTAATTTAAAATATTTATTAAATACCTACTACATGCAAAGTGGTATGCACAGTCCCTGCCCTCAGGGTGCTTACAAGCACATAACATGAATAGAAATAATTTCGACATAAGGTAGAATACAACAAGGATAAAGGGGAGCCTGACGAGACAAGCTCTAGGAAAACTTGGGGAAGAGGAGATGACTTTGAGGAAATGGGGATGATGGGAATCCTAAAAGGCTTCCTGCAAGAGGTGGCCAATGGAAAGGGAGAGTGTTCCAGCCATGAATGGTGTGCAATAAAAAAAAAAAAAAGATTCCTTTCCCTCATTCTCTTACCTTTCTGTTTATTTTAGACATTTATTCTTTGATTCATGGTCCTTATACTTCTTTATTCTGTATTCCTCACATAACTAAAGCTTCTAAGACACTTATTTTGAGTCCCATCTTCTAAATAGATTCTATCTTATTACATGGTAGATTTTGTCCGCTCCTTCCTTATACCTGATGCCTCACACTCAGAAGTATCAATTCCAGCAAGAGATAGAGAGGATAGAAATAGTCACATTGTAGAAATTTTCCTGTATCCCTGATGGAGTGGTTCATTATCACCCCCTTCCCTCCCATGATCACCCCTTCTCCTTCCCACCCCCCCAATTCAACATGAAATCTCCCCCTCTGGGACCATGTCCTCCTACTCCTCTGGATATTAGCTGCCCACAGCATGTGATTCCTTCTCCTGAGGCAAGATACTCTCTCCATAGAGGCACAATACATTGTCAGAGCTAGTGGTTTCTACAAGCACCATACCTCTGCAGACTGTACCCATTTAAGGTCCCTATCTTTCATTACAGAATCTCTCTTCTCCCTCTCCAGCCTCTATGAGAATGTTCTTCAGTGGGATGCCCCCCCATCACTGAATTCCCCTTTTATTTTACCCTATTTCAATTCTTCCCTTTGTACTTTTGCTACATAAATTCTGCTTTCACAATTTTTATTTTTTCCCTGAACCACTCAGGAATATCCTGCTGTGGTCCCATGTTCTCTTGGTCCTGTGTCTCATCAGGTGTTGATTCATTTTCCTTTGACTTGCAATATTTTCAAAGACATTTGGACTAATTTAGATTCCCTGAAGGTCATCTTTCTGTTATTAATAGTCTCTCTGTTGATTTGTCTGCTTGTGCTCAAGGTGTCTGAGTCCTTTTCCTACTGAGATCTTTGGTAATTTCAGTCTTTTCCCCTCATATCCTCCTATTGCTCACTTTCTGACACCTTCACCTCAGATAGCAGGTCTCCTGAGTGCTAGGTCTCAAAGCTGTGTCAGTCTCCTCCCAAAAGTTACATAATACACTTTTCACAGCCTCAGGCTATGCCTTAAGTCAAGGAGCATTTACTAAATACTTTCTAGTGACTTCAGGGAGGGCTAGAATCAGTCGCAGCTGGATACCAGTCTCCTTTCCTTCAAGTCTGGTTAGGTCCCAAATACAGGGGGCAGGGTACCCCACCTAGCTCCCTGAGTTATTTTGTTCTTTGGTTAAGCACTGCTACAGACAGCATGTTGTCATCCTAGGCAGAGGGTGCTTTCCTGTATATACTACCACTTCCTCCAAACTGTAGGGGATTGGGGGTAGGGTAGGGTGGCAAGGAGGGAAGAGAGCAGAGTTCCGTCGCTTGGTGTCACAGAATGATGGAGTGAAGGTAGGAGCAGGGGATATATGCTGGCAAAGACTGCAGCAGGATCAAGGGAATTATTGAGTCCAGATTCCACTGGCAGCTAGGTGGGTAAATAGAGCGCCAGGCCTGGAGTCAGGAAAACTCGAATTCAAATCCAGCCTCAGATACTTACTAGCTGTGTGACCTTGCACAAGCATTTAACCCTGTTTGCCTCAGTTTCTTCATCTGTAAAATGAGATGGAGAAGGAAATGGCAAATCACTCTAGTTTAATCTTTACCAAGAAAGCCCAGAATGGGGTCATAACTGAAATGACTGAACCAGAACAACCAGATCACAAGCCTCTGGGTCCCCCTGTGTAGTCCAGCCAGGGAGTCAGGGCAGATAGGGGAGTGGTTGCTAAGTGAATGCATTATGGGTTAGCCTTCTCTGCTGTCAGTGCACAAGACTGTTACCTCATCAGGGTTCTTACGGTGTTTGCCTATGGAGATCTAATTACTTTAACTCTTATTATTATTTTGGAGAGTTTTAAGAAATCATGAAGACTACAGAAAATGTCCAGTCCTCCTTCTTGTAGGTCACAGCCATGATGTGTTCTTGATGAAGCCATGCTCAATCTTTGTCATCGTTGTTTCATGTTCTAAATGTTCATTAATTATCTTCTTCGATAGTACATTCTAGAATTTTGACAAGAATCCAGTTCAAGCTCATTGGTCCATAGTTTGCAGATTTCTAAATTACTCCTTTATTCCCCTGAACATCTTCACCCAAATGTTCTCTCCACCATGGCAATCTCCTCACCCTTCCCCCACCACTTATCCTGTCTGTTTGAATAAGGTACACTCATCCAGAACTATATTGCAGTCCTGGGTCTTATCCCACCATGTCTCAGCAATGCCTTCTAAGATCAAATTTGCCACCTTGAATATGAATGTCTAATTCACTTTGTTGTGGCCTAAACTTTGCTCATATGTGCATACATATCTGTTCCTTTTTTGGATTTTATTTTCTGTGAGCTTCCAACTATCCGGATAATAATTCTTTTTTTCTACCCCTGTAGGTATTTTCTATGGCATCTAGCATGGTGAAGGTAACAAATAGTGTTCTTCCCCTCCCCCTTCCTGTTCAGAGATTTTTCAGCTAAAAGTCCTTTTAATGAACTTTACAAGACTCCAGATAAATACACTCTTACCAGTCCATGTTAGGTATACTCCATCCCCGGCTCAGAACCTGCCATTTCTATATTTTCAGCTATGGTCTATCCAAATCCAAAACTCAAAAACCATCTTCTTAACCTTTACTGCCCAAATCGGCTCTTCTCTTCTGCATCTTCTTGCCTTTTATGGGCAATGATGAAAACACCACCTGTGTCCCTGGGACCTTTAGTCTCTTGACTCAGAACTTCACGACCTTCGACAAAGTTCTCTAGGTCCCTTCTGGTTGTATCACTGTCCTTATGCGAATCACTGGAAATGGTAGTAGTCACTAGTCTTAACTAGCCTTGGGAGGCTCTTTTATGTCTTTAATAAATGTCCCCAGGAAAGCAATAGTCCTCTCTATTGTTGATATCAGGTCCATAGCTGCTGCTTCAGTATACTTCAGTAAGAAGCAAACAAGCATTCATTAAGTGCCTGCCACGTACCAGGCACTTTGCTAAGCACTTTACGAATACTGTCTCCCTTTGTCCTCACAATAACCCTGAGAGGTAGGTGCTATTAATTATCTCCATTTCACAGTTGAGGAAACTGAGTCAGGCAAAGGCTAAGCGACTTGCCCAAGGGTCAAACCACTAATATGTGTCTGAGGCCACATATGAACTCAGGTCTTCCTGATTCTAGGCCTGACTCTATGAACTATGGTGCCACTCAGCTGCCTTTAGGGCATCAAGGAACAACCCCAATTTGTCTCTTCCTTTTCTGACCTTATCTCATCTGTTACTACCAGTGGAGTCACCTTACCATTCCTTACAGGATAAGCAAATACTTCATCCTCAGAGCATCCAGTTCCCTCTTCTTTAGAAAGAGCCTCAAATTGGTCCTTTTAGCGCCATGAATTCAAAGGTCCTTGTTCTTATCAATAAACACTTATTAAGCACCTACTAGATGCCAGGCACTGTGCTAAGCTCTTTCTTCTTTGTGTGAAAGTCTTCTACCATCAAACTCAGATCAAGATTCCTTTCTGCCTCTTCAAATACTTTTACTTCTTTATTTTCATATTAAATCTCCTCTTTCTTTCTTTTTTTGGAGGACAATAATAAAAGTCTTGAGGGTCAGTAGGGCATAGTAGATAGAGAATAAGTCTAAGAGTCAGGGATATCTGGGCTCAAGTCTCAGCTTCAGTGGGCTCCCAGAAAAAGATTCTGCCATCAGAGAGGGAACCACAAGGGAAGGAGTTTGCTTTCAAAAGCTTCTTTAGAAAGAACCAAGGGACAGAGACCTGCTTACAGAATTCAATGCTAAGGCAATAAATTCCGGTGGTTCCTACTACCTCTTGCATCCAATAAAAACTCTCATATTAACAACCAATTATTAATTGGGTCAAGGTTTTCCCTTTCTATTTCTTCATTCAGAATAAACCATTGCAGGTTATTCAGCCAGTCTCTGAAGGACTTTGCTGATAGATGAGATGGCCCAAATCCTAGGGTACGTGCTTTTTTGTCTTGGGTGAGACCCCACCCACCTAGAAAACCTTACAAAGAGAATCTAATCGAGGTGAATCCCTGCCTGTATTCTACTCAGGCAGGCTTGTGCTGAGGTACATCCCTTTGTCTACGCTGGGGGAAGGGGGGCGATCTGGGTAGGGATGAGAAAGAGTAACACAACCAAAGTCATGTTCCCCACTCCTCATCAGAACAGATCTCCCTATCATTATAATATTCATTCTCTCTTTAAAAATTTTAATATAGTATTTTATTTTTCCCTCAATTACATGTTAAAACAATTTTTAGCCTTTGTTAAAGTTTTAAGTTCCAAATTCTATCGTTCCCTTATTAATGGTTAACCAATCAGAGGTGATTTCCCCCTGTTGGGAATACCCTCTCGTCCAAGGGTATATAAGAGTTGATCAGCCTCCACGATTCATCTTTGGTTTACGAGAGATAGACAAATGACCATCATTTTATTAATTATCTGCTAGCCATAATTAATAAAACTGATTATTAGTTACCCAGAAATTACATCTCTTGAAATTTTTCTACATTACGTCCTCCGCTGCCCTCTGCCCACTTTGGTATTTAATGCTCTTCATAAACAGATCCTAACTTACCTTTCCAGCCTCCTTATTGTAACCCTTGGAGGCACTTTCCAGTTCAGTCAGACTGGCTTTCTTGCCGTTCCTCCCACATGATATTTTATCTCCTGCCTCCGCGACTCGGTACTTGCTGGGATGCGCTCGTGCCTCACCTCTGCCTCTTGGAATCTCTGGTTTCCTTCAAGACTGAGCTTGAGTGCTGCTTTCAGCTTTGGCCTTTCCTGGTCTCCCCAGGAGCCAGTTCATTCCCTACCCCATAGGAAGCATCATAGGTTGTATCTATACCTACATGTGTATGTTCTTTCCCTTATTAGGATGTAAGCTCCTCTAGGACAGGGGCTGTTTCCCTTTTGTCTGCATCCCCAGTGCCTGACAAACAGTTCCTGAATGCTAAGCACGGACTGATACTATCCAAAGTCACAGATTAGGAATGATTACACTAATAATCACGTTGCCACCTCACCATCATAGAGCACTTCACAACAACAACCCATGCTCTCACCTCTTTCTAACCTCAAGGTTAAACAACACTGCTAGGCAGTAGAAATAAGAATTAATATCATTTGTAAAAAATGAAACACAGAAAAGTCATGTAACTCACCTGAGGTCATATAGCAAATGAGCCAGAGCCAGGGTTAGCAACCCCATCTCCTGTCTTCCAAGTCCTATGGCACACACATGCTCCCTCACCCCCTATGCCGTCACTCCCTCCCAGGCAACCTTTACTCTTTTCGGCTTTTACAACCATGCCAATGGATGTTCCTGCAGACTCAGAATGGGTTACCTGAATCCTGAGAGCAGCTGAAGCCAGTGTCCCCGGTGCTGCTACTGTGTCCCAGAGGCTGTCCTCCTGCCATGAGGGCAGTAAGGTGTGGAGACAGTCCTAGGTCTGTAAGACAAAAGGCGGCATTTGTGGATGAGAACAGTTCAAAGCTAGATAGAGACAGAACTTTCTCCATCCCCCTGCCCATTCATAAATCCTCATTATTCCTCTTCCACACCACCCCTCTGCCCCCTGCTTTGTCCACACTGGTCTCATATGAAAATATGTTCTTAGCACCTAGAAAAAAGATTGGATAGATTTATTCACAGTTAACTGTAAATTAGTATAATAATTCACTGCTCTTACTCCTGGTCTTTGTATTTTTAAGGGACAAAATGTATTCTCTAAAGGAATGAATAAAATTTTTCTGGAAATTAATGATGATGATAGCTAACATTTATTTAGTACTTAAGGTTTCCAAAGCATGTTATATACATGCATATATGTGTGTACACACACATTCTCATTTGATCCTCACAAACACCCTGATGAGGGTGCTATTATTCTCCCCATTTTGCAGATGAGGAAACCAAAACTCAAAGAGATTAAATGACTTGTCCAGAGGCTCACAGCTAGTACACGTCTCAAACTCAAGCCTTCTGATTCTAAATCCAGCTCTGATGAATAGTAGGCTATCTAGTTGTGTTTTTTCCACTAACATAACAGACCCCAGAAACTAACAGGCAAGTGGAGAAGCAAAATTTGGGGACAGCCATCATACCCTCGGGCAGTAATCTATTCTACCTTTTTTTGGGGGGGGGGGAAGGCAATCAGGGTTAAGTGAATTGCCCAGGGTCACACAGCCAGTAAGTGTCTGAGGCCAGATTTGTACTCAGGTCCTTCTGACTTCAGGGCCGGTGCTCTATCCACTGCGACACCTAGCTGCCTCTGGGAAAGTGGTTTCTTTAGCTGTTCTATGGAACCAGGATTTTTCAATTACTCAGACTTCAACTTTTGGACCTGCCTTTTTAAAATCAGTCCTAAGACAGAAGATTCTATACTAATGTTTCCATGTTTCCTGTGATGGTATCTGGTGATATAATGCATGCCTTCCCCTCTTGCCCCTGGCAAAGAGGTCATTATTGTTTATGGGAAGACTAGGATTGGAGGGGAGGGCACTCCAGGCCAGCATCTCAGTAAGTAAGTAGCTTTTGTGCAGAGTTGCTATCCCAATGAGTTCTGCAGTCCCTCTTGTGCTTCTGATTAAGGCATTTTTACACCAGGCTGAGCCAGCACAGAGGATGAAGGTCAGAGACAGAGCTAAGCATCCTCCTTTTGCTCATCCTTGTCCAGGCCTTTCAGTACCCGGGAGGTAACTGGATTCCAAGGGGGCAGTCCAGAACGGAGGGAGGGAGATGGCTGGCTCACCATCCCTTGTCAAATAAGATGGCGAGAACCACAGTTAGCTCTGGAACACTCGCCGAGGGATTGTGGTGAGAGCTAAGAACAAGCCCGATTCTCCCATCAGCGTTATCAGCATGACCGCAAGCTGGAAAACTGTTTGAGTCAGTTCAGATTTGTGGAGCTCTTGCATTTCACTTGGTTCTGGTACATCCTCCTGAATCAAGCAATCTGCCCCCCTCCCTGGTGCCCTTTTCACAGGGAGAACAACAAAGGCATTCAGAGTTCAGGCAACCAAGGGCCAGGAGGTTCGTGGTATGTGGAAGAACATGCTGCCTAGGAGAAGGATTCGTGCCAATTAGAAACTTCCTGAAGAACTCGGTAACGAGCTTTGGATGAAAACTCAGTCTGTGGATGGAACCAAAAAAACTGAAGTTGCTAGTATTTGAAAAAAAAAATTTAAAGTGGAGCTGGCTAGTGACAAAATTGTAAAGTAGGGGAACTAGCAACTTAAAATATCCCTGTTGTGCAGCTAGCATCTTCGGGAAACCCTGAGCTTCACTCTTTTTTCATTTAAGGATGTGACTGTTTGTATATGAGACAATGGATCAGGAGAGACAAAACCCAGAAGTCAACTGCAGGCCCAGCTGAAAGCCATAGCTATTTAACGATTAAATACCACCCTCAACATGTTTATACAACCCCTGGCATCCTGAAGGCAGCCAGACAGCTCCAGGCAATTGTGAAATTCAATTTCTGCTTAGGATCACAAAGCAGTTTTTAGAACGGTGTATAATTCTGGTTTGTTTTTTTTTTTAATTTCTTGGATTGAAACCTTCCAGAAGAAACATTTCCAATAAAAATTTAGTGCGCTCTCAGTTATCAGTACCAATAGAGGATGGGAGATGGGAGACAGGAGAGCAGCACACATAATCCACAGCAGTAGAGAATCTCAAAATATCACTTCTATCTCAAATGGAAATGCATTATTTGACTTTCTTTTGAGAAATATGTTTCATTCCTAATTCTATTGTGACTCTGGATTCTAGAAAGTTATTCTAGCAGAAGATAAGCCAAACAACTGTAGAATGTGGGCCAACAGCAATGGACTGAGTGTCATCTGTCACTCAGATTCTCTCTCTCTCTCTCTCTCTGTCTCTCTCTCTCATCTGAGGTCAATTTTGCTGGGTTTTTAGAGGTTCATCAAGCAAAAGGCTGGCCATTTCATTTTTTTTGCTGCAGTAACTTACTAAGGTAGAAGGGTTGCAATCTGCATTGGCGAACAGAGTATCCAAAATTGCAAAATCTCATTTGGAAAGGACTTCAGAGATAATCAGAGAATCATACGTGCAGAATTGGAAGAGACCTAAGAGGTCATTTAGTCCAACCTCCTTTTTCTAGCTGAGGAACCAGGGAACAAGGAGGTGAATCCATTTTCCCAAGATCACATGGGCAGAGAGTATGTGAGAGGCAGAATTTGAATCCACATCCTCTGACTCCAAAGCTAGTGATCATTCTGCTCCATTATGCTAGTCTGACCTATACCTGTATCCTCTCTCTGCTTAAAGACTTGCAGTGAAGGAGAACCCGCTAAATCCCAGGACAATCCATGGCACTCCTGCACAGCTCTCTGGCAATCCCTCTCTCCCTTGCATCAAGTCTAAACTTGCCTCTTTGTAACACTCTCCCTATTGCTTTGGGTGCTGCCCTTTGAGGACCAACATGACAGGCTCTTTCCCCCTTCCACATGGCGGCTACAGTTTCTTGCCTAGGTCTTCTTTCTCCAGCCGTACATAATCAGTTCCTTCAACCAATGCTCATATGACATGATCTCCAGGCCATTCCCCGTTCTCCATACCCTCCTCTGGGTGGTCATCCTCTAGCTCCTCTAGCTCCTCAATGCCCTCGTTAAAATGTGGCACCTAAACTGCAAAGAGAACTCCAGAAATGGTCAGACAGTCTCTCTAATGCCAAGACCCAAACCTCAGGAACAACGATACCATTCTCCGTTACACTTCAGTTATTCACTTGCATGGTTACAGCTTAGATCTCACTATCTGACTGAACTGGATCACTCCCAAGATTCAGAAATTCAAGTACTTCTATTGTAGTTTCTTATCCTTTCCCCTTCCCTCTTTCTTAACCTGCTCTCTGATCTCATCATAACCTCCAGTTCCTTGACCATTTCCTATTCTCCCAGATCACCACCTCCAATTTTGCCACGTTTGCCTTATAACTAGGCTCTGTGTGACCCCCACCATCAGATTTTCCTGCTCCTACTCCCGGACTATTGAGGCAGATTGGAGAAAGTTATAAAATCTAGCTGATTTCACCTATTAAAGTTGTATGCTAGACAACCTCAACTGGAAGACAATCCCTTTCATCTCTCCTTCATTTCTTTTCTCATTCCCCTCATGACTAGTTCCAACCTTTTCTTCCCTTCCTCTGTCCCAATTCCTTCTCAGCCCTCTACATGATTTAGCAGCCTGCTTCACAGAGAAAACTGAGGTTATCCAACAGGAGTTCCCTTCACTCCCCTCCTCCCTTTCTCAAATTGTCTTATCATCATTATTTTCTTTTCCTTTCCCCTCCAGTCACTAAAGAGACACCCATATTACTCAACAAGGCTCACCTCTCTGTGCCTTTGGCCCCAACTCCTCCACCTCCCCCAGGGTCTTGTTGCAGCAGCTACCCACTCATGCATTTTCATCATTTCCTCACCACTGGCTCTTTCACATCTGCCTACAACATGCTCTGATCTCCCCAGTTCAAAAAGAGATTCCCCTGAAATCCTATGCCCTCTCTCTACTCTTCCCTACTCAATTATTTTAAAAAATTGTTGACTCTCATTGCTTCCAATTCTTTCTCTTCTCTTTTCAGTCCATCTCTCTGTCTCTCTCTCCTCCATCCCTGTGCAATCTGGGTTCTATCAGTTTGGACAGAACTTTGTATGTCATTTAGATGATGAATGAAGTTTTGCTTCATGGGCAGAATAAGCTAGTCTAGGTCTATTTTAGTCATAGAAGAGATCGCTTTTCTGCTTTGTTTTGGAGAAGTATTCATAAAACACTGCTCAGGTAGCAACCACACAATAAAAGTCACATTTTCTTAATGTGACCCAGCAGTGTATCCCCTACCTGGCATATCTGTTTAACCAGATTCTACTGTATTCCAAGAGAATAAGGCAACTTTCTATTTTAAATGCAATTTAGGATTGGGGGTGACGGGAGGATGGTAGGGAATAAGGCAAAAAAAAATAGGAAATGGTTAAATTTTTAAATCTAAGTCTTTGGATGTTAAGTTAGTTTTTTATTGTCTTAGGAAGAGTGAAAACGCTATAGTGAATAAAATGTTGAACCTGGAGTAAGGAAGACCTGGATTCAATCTCACACGTGATATTTATGTGTGTGTGTGTGTGTGTGTGTGTGTGTGTGTGTGTGTGTGACAATGGGAAAGCCTCTCTGATCATTAGTTTCCTCATCTCTAAAATAGAGACGGTATCTTGGGTACCTGCCGCACAGGGCTGTTAAAAAGATCCCACCCCTAGGATGTAAAAGAGCTAAAGCTAAGATGACAAGATTTAGGACAAACCTAAAATACATGCTGAACAGGACAGTGTTTTTTGACCTTTTTTGGTGTCACAGACCCCGCTGAAAATCTGCTGAAGTCTAGGCACCCTTTAGTCAAATTCATGGTTTGATGCCTACATTCCTCTTTGAAGGAAATGTTTTTAAATTTCAGTTAATGGCTAGTGAAAATAAAGATGCAATTTTTCCCCCGCCCAAGTTCACAGACTCCCTGAAATCTAGAGTCAGCCGTAGGTGAATCAAATTAAATTTCTCCTCCTAATTTCATAGTAGCATAGATTCTCTGAGTTAAAAGGGCCTTTTGAGAAGTAATCTAGTCCAACTACTTCTCCAAAATATAAATCCCCTCTATAGTATCTCCGATAAACGATCATCCAGCTTCTGCTAAATTATTACTTTTTTTTAATTGCTGAGTCCAGAGTTTGGTAGCTTTTTCAAATTAATATAGCACATCTTCATTTAGTCATTTTCTCCTAAGGGACAAGGAAGGGAATATTGATAGGGGTAGTTCTCCCTTGTTATGAGAGGGAGAAAGCAATTCTGCCTTGTGAACGGTGGCTGAGAATGGGACAGTCGTGTTGATCCATGCATACAAAAAAAATCACTGGCACACCCAGGGAAGCATTCCTTTAGTTTTGGTCCTGCACTGCCAGGACCCTAGGAATTCCAGGGTAGCAGCAGAAGCTCAGAAAGAGGAAGAAAGTTATAAGGCCAGTTCTCCATCACCCAAGAAAATGCATTTTTTTCTTTTCCCACAACCCTGGCCAGCAAAAGAACATCTTACTTAAAGGCCACTTTTGGCATGAGGACAATGGACCACCAACCCCTGCAGTTGTACAATGACTGCAACTTTCTTCAATTACTCTCCACTAAGATGAAATTTAGTGATGATTAAGTGCAAAACCCTTGCTTGATTAAAAAAAAAAACTCTACAAGTACAGGCTAGAAAGCAATTCAAGTGAAAAACAAAACAAAATTTTAAAAAATCCTTTTGGGTTTAGTAGACTGAAAGTTTAGTAAGAGTCAGCAGTGTGATATGATGGCCAAGAAATCTAATCTATTGACTGTGGAAAAGAGTGTCCAGAGTGAGGAGGACAACAGTATTGCTGGACTGGGCCTGAGTCAGATCACGTGTAGGGTACCATGTTCAGCTCTGGGTGCCACATTTAAAAAGAGACCTAACAAGCCTGATCGAGGCCATAGGAGGATGACTAGAATGGTGAAGAGACCTGATATCATGCCATGGTATCCAGATTTACAGAACCAGAGATGTTCTAGCATGAATGGTATGGGGAGTGGGGATTAAGCCATTCTCAAATATTTGAAAAGTTAGCACATGGAAAAGAGATTAGAATCATTCTACTCTGCTCTAGAGGGAACAACTGGGGCCAGTGGATAGATGACACATGGAGTAAGTTTTAAGTTCAACAGAAGGAAATACCTCCCAACAATCAAAACTTCCCAAAAAATGGAATGCATTACAATGAGATGCAGTGAATTCCCTCTCACTGAAGGCCGTGAAGCTGAGGCTAGATGACCTCTCACCAAGGATGTGGTAGAGAGCTTTCCTGTTATGGAAACAGGTTGGCACAGATGCCTGGAATATAGTAAGTACTTAATAAATGCTGACTGATTGACTGACCGATTGATTTTTGATATCCCTTCTAATCTTGCAATTCTATCATTACAGACACAGGCACTGAAGATGATGAACAATGATGAACGCTTAATGGATATGATAAATACTACTCCAATTTGTATAGCACTTTCCAGCTTAGAAAGCATTTTCCTCACAATACTATGTTATTATCTCCATTTTACAGGTGAGGATCAGAGAATTTTAAGTGCCTTTCCAGGGCCACAAAGTTAGTAAATCTCTTCTTAGTCTTCTTAGTTAAAGATTGCCGTTCTTTCCCCTGAACCACACTACACCGGCCAGAACCATTCCTTAACACATTCTGAATGTTTCCATTCTAGTCTCCTCCAGCATCATTTCTAATATAGATTTAGTGATACTGAGCTACAGTTGCCTACACGGAATAGCAGCTACTGTAGTAGCCATGAGAACTAATGCTCAAAAAAATCCAAACCCACACTTACTATCTATTTTGTTGGTGACCCCATTTGGGGTTTTCTTGACAAAGATACTGGAGTGGTTTGCCATTTCCTTCTCCAGCTCATTTTATAGATGAGGAAACTGAGGTCAATAGGGTTAAGTGGCTTGCCCAAAGTCACATAGCTAGTAAGTGTCTGAGGCCAGATTTGAACTCAGGAAGATGAATCTACCTGACTCCAGGCCCAGCATTCTATCCATTGTGCCACCTAGCTACCCATTGTGCCACCTAGCTACCCCTTGCTATCGATGGTCACAATCAATTAAGATAAGTTGCCTACCTATATTACCTCTATGTCCCCATTCCCTAAGACATGTGACCTGGGTCTTTGGATGAGCAATGCCAGCAAAAGAATCGAAGAGTACATTTATAGCTCTGCGACAGGCATTCACATATACCCAAAGCGCCGGTTACCTGTAATCCTGTTGGAGATGCTAAACAGCCTGGAAGTTCTCGGTCGCTGAACAAATGGCTCTCGGTAATACCGGTCCCCAAAGCACATGCCTAGTAATTCTTTGCGCACTGTCTTGTTCCAAAGTCCATAGATGAGAGGATGGCAGATGGCACTGGTGAAGGACAACCACGTGGCTAACGTCTCCAAGGCAGGAGACACACTGTTCTTGCCCCAGAGGGCCTCAGAAGTGATGACGACCATGTAGGGGCCCCACGTGATGACGAATGCACCAATCACTACCAAGATGGTGATGAGCGCTTTGCACTGGTTGGCAGAGTAGACCACACCTTGGAAAGTGTTCCTCCTGCTGCCTGAGGAGGAGGTGGAGGTGTTCGAGTTTTTTCTCCCATTTCTTTGGGCGTCCTCCTCCACGATGACCACTGTACCACAGTGGACCTTGCGGGCCTTCACCCTGGCTACACGGAAGATGAAGCCATAGCAAACCACCATGACCACAAAGGGCAACAGGGCACACCAGATCTGCCAAAAGGCCGTGTACCCAACTTCCCGGTGCCAGGCAGCTACACACATCCATTTGAACTCATCAAACTCCACAGATGACCAGCCAAACAAGGGAGGGAGGCAGCCGATGAGGGAGTGGAGCCAGATGTAGACTAGGGCAAGCACAGCCCGGTTCCCGGTGATCTTCATGGGGTACACCATGGGATAAAGGACAGCATAGTAACTGGCAAAAGAGACGTGGGGAGAGAAAGTCAGAAATGAAAGAGAACATGTGATGGCAAATGGCACTGGGTATATTCTAGGGAGAGTTAAGGAATCTAAATGATGAGATGATTCCTATCAGCAAACAGCACCCTGCCAGCACTGATGCCAGGCAAGGTCTATATACCAACATAAAGCTATACTTGCGGGTAATAAATAATTGTAAGATGGCAAAAAATAATACTTTTAAAATAATTAATAATTAATTAATGAATTAGTATATATTATATATAATTATATAGTATATAATATTATATATTATATATAAAATGTTATATATTATAAATATAATTATAATTAATAATTAAATTAATGGTTAATTAGGAAAGCTTAATAATTTGGAAGTTATTTTCAGGAAAACACTTTTTTAAACCTTAAAAGCACTTAGAAATGTTCACTAAAAATAATAACATCTTGATCTCCCTAACAGCTGGTGCTCTCTCCAAAACTACCTTGTATTCAATTATTTTGTATATATCTTTATTCACTTTATGCTATGTATGTTTATATTGTTGTTTATCCTTCATTTTCAAAGAGGACTAATGACATCATGAGGCGATGTCTTGACTTGTTCATGAATTTGATTTAAGTGAGACAGAGCTGCACAAAGTCATCAGCCTCACTCTCTCTCCCGGAGTCATCAAAGTCCAGCAGCAAGACAAAAATCAGACTGACTGCTGATGGCCCGGGATGCAGCAGATGACCTTGACATCTTAGATGTCTGCCCAGCACCTGCTCCAGCCATCTTCATGGCCACTGGAACAAATTGTTTTTATCTGCTCATTCCCCTGGGAAAAGTCTTCACACGCTCGGGGTGGACATCCCTCTAACTCACCAGCAGGTGTGAGGCCTCAGTTACCCTCAACGTAGTTTAGCCCATCTATGGTTTTCCCAGGGTGTGGTCGCTGCATATGCTCCAGCTTCTTGAAGCCATAGGGGGTTGCGTGTGTGTGTGTGTGTGTGTGTGTGTGTGTGTGTATACATACATAAATATATACAAATATATATTTATATATGTACTTGTCTCTTCCATTAGAACATAAACTTCTTACAAGTACGGATTGTTTTATTCATTGTCCTTGTATATCCAGTCCCCAGCACAGTGCCGGGCACACAGTAGATAGTTAATAAATATTTGCTGGTTAATTGACATTATGGATAAATCTTGAAAATGTATTATATGTGAGAAAATGGCATTTATGGGTTTTGAAGTCTTCAGAAGCTTAACTTTCGTGACATATCAGCAATCGCCCTGACAAAAACCTCTATTTTATTATTATCACAATAATAAAAACAATGAGATATAACTCGGCTTTAGCAATCTCAAGATAAACATTGTACGGTGCATTGGACAAGCTCTGGAAAATACCATCATCCTCTGCATAACCAGATATGTCATCCCAATTTATTTTGTTGTTTTGGTTAACACTATTTTTAGTAACAATGTCATCAGTCAACCTGTGGAATGAGACTCTGAAAAACATTTTTCGTGGGCACTGGTCCCAAGAACATTCATTTCTAAGCTGTTTTAGCCTTAGGACTGTGTTATTTTATTTCCAGTGAAACTTTTCAAGTGCCTAATTCATCTTCCCCTGTTAGCAACTGTCTTAGCAATTACTTCTTCCATCCCTGTTGGTTCAGGCACTGCCATTGAAAGGGCTAATCTCTTCTACATAGCTAGTTTCACTCTCATCAGCCTATGCGTTCTTTATGTTCTCCTTCTGGTTATGTTCACAAGGCTCCACCACATGGTTTACACTGACTGTAGGGACCAAGTCAATTCAGTCAAACCAATTGGTCTAATTTCTTTCACTAAACTGCTTGTTTGGCTAAACTAATTAAACTAACTGGCCAGTTCTTTCAGCATTTTATAAACATCCCAGCTGTCCCCTCTCTTGATTTATCCTCAAATAATCTCTTTCTGGGGCAGCTAGGGGGCACAGTGATAAAGTACCAGGCTTGGAGTCAGGAAGACTCCTCTTCTTCAGTTCAAATCCAGCCTCAGACACTTACTAGCTGTGTGCTTCACACACTATTTGCCTCAGTTTCCTCATCTATAAAATGAGGAAATGGCAAACCACTCCAGGATCTTTGCCAAGAAAACCCCAAAGAGAGTCATGGAGAACTCAACATGACTGAAAAACAATTCAGCTGGGGCATGGCGCAGTGGATAAAGCACTGGCCCTAGTGTCAGGAACACCCGAGTTCAAATTTGGTCTCAGACCAGACACTTGATACTTACCAGCTGTGTGATCTTGAGCAAGTCATTTAATCACAATTGCCTTGCCAAAAAAAACCCCCAAAAACAACAACCCAACAACAACAAAAAAAAACAAAACTCAGCAACTCAAAAACAACTCAGCAATCTCTTTTTAACCTGTTTGCTATTTTGCTTTTCTCTCCTGTTCTATTCACCTCTCTTCATCTTCCTACTGTCACTTCCTCTACCTGTTTTTGTTTGTGTATGTCTCTTTCAAGTCAAATATTTATGTTTTCATTATATATGTAATTTCCAAAAGAACAAGAAAAATTGATTTCCCTACAACTTCAGGGGTAGGGAATGGGGAGAAATTTGTTTAAATGTTTCTGTACATTAAGACCATGTTTACTTGTCAGGTCGTTAGTGATTTCTTATTCAATTTTTTTAGATATGTGAATGGTTAATGACCATAAAACAAAATCCTTCATTAGAATAACTGAAATAACCAAGGTGATTGTGTTAGTCCAGATATTTTATAAGCATCTGGCCAATGTACTTTATGAAATCATTTTTTAAAAAGTAAAAAGAAAACCACTCCTTAGTCTAACATTCAAGGCACTCCATAATCTGGCTCCAGCCTACCTTTACAGCCATATTTCACATTATAATCCTTTAATTACTCTTGTAGTTCAGTCCTTCAGTTGTGTCCAACTCTTCATGACTTCATGGACTATAACATACCAGTACTGTTCATGGAATTTTCTTGGCAAGAATACTGGAGTGGTTTGCCATTTCCCTCTCCAGTGGACTAAAGAAAACAGAGTTTAAGTGATTTGCGTACGGTCACAAAGCCAGTAAGTATCTGAGGCTGGATTTGAACTCAGGTCTTCCTGACTCCAGGTCCAGCACTATGTGCACTATGGCGCCACCTAGCTGCCTCCATTAGTTACATTCCAGCAAAACTGGATGATTCTTCCATCTCTTTCTCTTTCTGCATCCTTCTGCCTCTCTGTTTTTGCCCAATTCTACATAAGTTTCCTAGAATAAGTTCCCTTAAATTGTAAGCAGATATGTTGAAATTCCTCCTTTCCTTTAAGGTACAGCACAGTTGCCACCTCCTCTAAGATGACTTCACAGCTGAGAACAGTCTCCCTCTGAGAATTTCACTAAAGTACTCGGCCTAAATCTCTTATTTTCCCTTATCATAGCTCATCCTTACGTTTGCAGTTGCAAGCTTCAACCTACTGTGCTATCTGCTCCCTACTGTGCCATTTTTTTTTTCATATTGGCATCTTTTGCCCAAATGCAGGTGCCTTTCACATAAGTAGGTACTTAATAAAAGTTTGATTAAATAAATGAATCAATCAGAACTGAAATGAAATCATCCCTTCGGGCTGCTGTTCAAACACAATCAAGCAATGGAAACTCCTCCATTCTTGCCATCTGTCTTTCGTGGTAAGGCAGCTTGTCTAGGAGGCAGCAGTCTTTTTAGCTGTAATCATGTCTTTGTCCCCTGGGGACCCCAGCAAACTTGGAAGGGTCCAGGTGAATTCTAGCTTGAGCCCTATACCTGAAGTACAAGGAGGAAAGTTGTGCTTGGGTGGGATTGTGGAGATGTATTTACTTGAATGTAATTAAACAAACATTTATTAAACTCTTACTGAGCAATGGCTCTGTGCAAGGGGTTAGATCTGAATCTCAGAAGTTAGTTTAAAGCCTTCTTGGTGTGTAAGCTGGGGATTATCAATCAACAAGCACTTATTTATATTAATAATTAATGTAAAAATAGTAATAATATTATTGTTAATAATTTACTATGTTCCAGGCACACCACTGAAGTTCTAGAGTTACAAAGAAATGTAAAAAACGATCTCTGCCCTCAGGATGCTTACATTCTGATGGGAGAGACAACTGTAAAAAATAATAGGTCCACAGGTAGAATAGGTGGAAGGTGATCTTAGCAGGGAAGGCCACTTCCTGGGAGTACTGAGGAAGGTCTCCCACGGAAGGTAACATTTAAACTGAGTCTTAAAGGAAACCAGGAATTCTGAGATGTGGAATTGAGCGGGGAGAGAATTCCAAACATAAGGGAGAGCCAAACAAGACATGAGATGGGTGACAGAGGGTGGTGTATGAGGAACCAAGTAAGCCGATGTAGCTGCACTGTAGAATACTGCTTGGGGAATGAAGTGTAAAAAGAATGAAAAGGTGGAAAGTGGCCAAGTTATGAAGAGCTCTGAATGCCAGACTGAGGGCTTTATATTTGATCCCAGCAGTAATGAGAATTTGTGGTGATTTATTGAGGTGGGGCAGTGGGATGCATAGACCTACACTTTAGGAAAGTCACTTTACCACTGGAATGCAGAGACCTGCTTATTTAAAAACTCACTTTGTTTGAGACAATAAGCTCAAACAAATAACTTGCACTCTTTGAAAGCTGTAGTTACTGGACACCCAACGAGGTGCTCTTGTGTGCCATGGTAGAGGCACTCAGAGAACAAACACACACAATTCCTTCACTCAAAGTATTAACCAGCTCTATTCTGTAAACCTCGGGAACACCTGGCACTCAGGAGACAATGGCTAAAAAGTTAATTGGAAATAGTGAGCGTGATGATCACTGCAGAAGCTCCAAAAGTAGTTATTCATCCAATAATCAGCATTCATTTAGCACCTATTATGTTCAGAGGCCAAAGCTAGGTGCTTGGGGAGCTGCTCTTCAGCCATTTTCAGTTGTGTCTGACTCCTTGTGATCCCGTTTGGAGTTTTCTTGGCAAAGACACTGGGATGGTTTGCAATTTCCTTCTCCAGCTCATTTTACAGTTGAGGAAACTGAGGCAAACAGACTTGCCCCACACAGGGTCACACAGCTAGTAAGTGTCTGAGGCCAAATTTGAACTCAGGAAGATGAGTCTTCCCGACTCTAAGCCTGGTGCTCTATCCACCTAACTATCCTACAGAGGGCACATAAAGTTTAGATAAAACTCATTCCCTACTTTCATGCAGTTTACACTCGTGGTGGAACCGTAAGCTTCCCAATAGAGAGTAAGCTCCTTGAGGGCAATGATAGTTTTTCCTTTTTTCTTTCTAATCCTTGAACACAGAGGGTGCTCAATTATTGTTGGACTGGATCAGAGGAGGACAAGATAATAACACTGATATGTGTACCAAACACAACACTACACGATAAGTTCATGAGGGTGCTTGTGTCAAATTCAAATAGAAAGGGATCCCCGGGGGCTGTGGATTAACTTAGAAAACACAAATTAACATTATCCACGCTGCATTGCATATTGTATTTATTTTGTTAAACATTTCCTAAATACAATTAATCTGGTTTGGGCCGAACTAGTCTGCAGTAGGGAGCTAGGGGAGGACCAGCAGAGAAGTCCTTGTGAAGTGTTGTCCAGTACAGCTATCATTCACCATGTATGGTCAAGTGATACTCAGGAGGGGAAGCTATGAGGGAGCACAGAGGAGGTAAGAGGGCCCCAATGGCATTAGCCTTTCCTGGTTCCTGTGCCAGCACAGGTGGACTTTTCATGACTCCAGAGGCAGCATCACCTGCCTAAAATGGTCTTACTAGTAGTACTGCCTTGCTTTCCCAGTCTAAACCCTAATCAAGGTAAACATGGGGAACTCTACCAGCAAAATCCTGTTGGACATCCCTATCAAATGAGTGAATGGACTCAGGAAATCATAAATGCATTGACAAAACCCACCAGGCTTATACAACTAAAGCACTCTGGTGAGAGGGTATTTGCGTTACAAACGATAGTTGTTGATACAAATAGAGTTGATGTAATTTATATAGTTTAATGATATTCAGGTAGAGTAAGTAAGGCTTAGCAGCATCCGTTACCGCAATGCCTAGGTAGTTTTAAAATTATTAAAATCTTCCTCCATTATCCCTTGCTCTCATTCCCCTTTTGGTATATTATCCCTCTACCCTTGAACCCTAGGCACCCCATTCCACTTAATCAAAATTCATTAAAGTCAAGAAACACATTTTATTGACTTTGATGTCTCCCTAACATAGGTTTCTATTGACAGAAATTACTTAATAAATGTGTTTGGAATCAATTTTTATCTATATACTTTAGCTACCTTTATCTTCTAAAAGGGAAAGGCGGGCTCTTTCCAATTTGGAGTCTGGGTTCTTTCCTGTAGCTCAGGGGTCCTTTACTTTTATTGTGTTAGGGACCCCTTTGGCATAGATTTTTTGGGGAAGTCTATGGATTCCTCAGAGTAATGTTTTTAAATTTTTAATAATGTTTTTTGATAAAATATACAGGATTTTAAAAAGAAACCCATTACGCTGACACATAGTTACCAAAATATTTTTAAAAACTTGTCCAGAGGCAGCTAGATGGCGCAGTGGATAGAGCTCCAGCCTTGGAGTCAGGAGGACCTGAATTCAAATCCAGTCTCAGACACATAACACTCACTAGCTGTGTGACCCTGGGCAAGTCACTTAACACCATTAGCTCATCAAAAAGAAGCAAAAATTAGTCCATAGCTGCCAGGTTAAGAACCCTTGTTTTCAGCTTCTATTAAAAATATGTAACATCAGAGACAGCATGATGTGATGGAAAGAGCAGTGTCTGGGAACCAGGCCACCTAGAAATTGCCCCAAACTAGTTATGGGACCTTGAGCCTCAGTTTCTTCATCTGCAAAAGGAGAACTGGACTAGCTTCCCTTGTAGTTAGATAATAACTACTTGGTAAGCATTTACCATGTGCCATGCACCGTGCTAAGCACCAGGGATAGAAAGAGAGGCAAAAACATGGTCTCTGTTCTGAAGGAGTTCATGTTCCAGCTCACAGATTATAATGATTCTATGATTACAAACATGAAGTGAACTTACCGGTCAATAGCAATGACGCCCAGGGTGAGCATGCTGGCAGAGCTGATCAGTAGATACAGGAGAGCAGAGAAGTTGCACCAGACCACCCCAAATATCCATTCCCGCCGGATGGAGCTTGTCGCCACAAAGGGCAACACCAGCACAGACAGCAAGAAGTTTGACAGGGTCAGGCTGAAGACAAACTTGTTACTCAGTGTCAGCAGATAGGACTTCTTGTACAGGGTGAACACTATCACCGAGTTACCCAGGCAGACGAAGATGGCGATGATGATGATGGCGATAGACTCGGTGATGGTGACTGCCCCGTCATCTCCCTCCGGGCCTGGGAGGTTGGCCAGCTCCTTCCCTTGACTGACAGAGGAGTTGATGCTCATGGTCAGCATGCCACGTGGTAGAGCAGGCAGAACATGTTGGATGGCTGGAATACCAAAGGGATAACAGGAGGGGAGAAAGAAGCAGGGGAGGAGAGAGAAAAGGAAGGGGAAGGGGGGGAAACGGGGAGGAAGAGAGGGAACAGAGTGTGAGATAAAGGGGGCGGGGAAGAGGGAGAGAGGAAGGAAAGAGGGTGGGGAGATGGGAAAAGAAAGTGTGTGTGTGTGTGTGTGTGTGAGAGAGAGAGAGAGAGAGAAAGAAAGAGAGAGAAAGAGAGTAGAGAGAGAGAAAGAGAGAGGAAGAGAGAAAGAAGGAGGAGGAGGGAGGGAGGGAAAGAAGAGAGAGAAGAAGGAAAGAAGGTGGGGAAATAGGAAAAGAAAAAGTGTGTGTGTGTGTGTGTGTGTGTGTGTGTGAGAGAGAGAGAGAGAGAGAGAGAAGGAGGAGGAGGAAGAGGGAGGGAAGGAGAGAAGAGAGGAAGGAAAGAGAGTGGGGAGATGGGAAAAGAGAAAGTGTGTGTGTGTGTGTGTGTGTGTGTGTGTGTGTGTGTGTGAGAGAGAGAGAGAGAGACAGAGAGAGAAAGAAGAAGAAGGAGGAGGAGGAGGAGGGAGGGAGGGAGAGAAGAGAGAGAGGGAAAAGAGGGAGAAAAAGAGGAGGGAGAGAAAATGAACACATTGGATGATGGACTCTCAGAGCTGGGATACTCCAGAAATCATCTAATCTAACCTCCCAGCCAATGCGTCTTGCTCAAAAAAAAAGCAGCTCTTTGCTCCCAAACCCAGAGGTCTATATTCCAGTTTCTCTAGAGTTTTTCCCCCAAGGGACCCAAAGCAAGCCTAATCCAGGAATAGGACACCCCAGTAGAAAAGGGCACTAGCCTTAGAGTCAGAGACTAAATATTTACACTCAGTTGTGTCACCGGTGTCCAAGGCCTATAGCTCTCTTTCCTTAGGAGCCTACAGAAGTACCATGAGAGATAAATGGAGTGAAGTCTGAAATTTTATCAGGTTCTTGAGGGAAGATTCAATTAAATATTCTTAGCACCAACTAACTTCTATAGACCCCTTGTCAGAGAGGGCGGGGGTCATCAAATTGTAAGATCAGTTTTAGTCAGTCAGCAAGCATATATTAAGCACCTACTGTGTGCCAGGCTCTGTGCTAAGCACTGGGGATACAAAAAGAGGTAAAAAATAGTCCCTGCTCTCACGGAGCTCACAGTATGAGGCAAACAACATGTAAACAAGTATATATAAAAATATACATACCAACATACAAATATACATATGTGTGTATGTGTATATATACATATATACGTGTGTGTGTGTGTGTGTGTGTGTGTGTGTGTGTGTGTGTATGTATGTAATGATAAACTACAGGTAGTATCAGAGGGTAGGTGCTCAGATTAAGGAGGATTTGGAAAAGTTGTGTAAGCCTTGAAGGAAGCCAGAGGGTGAAGCAGAGGAGGGAGAAGATTCTACGCATGGGGGATAGCTAGTTAAAATGTATAAAGTCAGGAGATGGATTATCTTTTGTGAGGAAAAGCAAAGAGACCAGTGTCCCCATACTGCAGAGGACATGGAGGGGAGTAAGGTGTAGGGAAATGGAAGGGTAGGAAGGGACCAAGTTATGAAGGGCTTTCAAAGCCAAACAAAGATTTTATACTTGACCCTGGAAGTAAGAGAGAGTCACTGGAGTTTTACAAATGGGCAAACTCTTTCCTGACCAGTCAGTACAGGGCCTGGGGTCTTATTTCTCCTAAGATGCAGTCCCTGCCATATCAAATGGAGAGAACAACACCAACAAAACAATCCAAGTTGGATGCCGTGAAATTATGATAACCAAGCTTGGCCCCAAAGAAGAGATACGAGAAGACACCTCCTCAATTTCTTTGCAAAGACGGGGGACGATGGGCATGGAACACTGACTGCATTCAGTAGCATGCTTTTTTGACATGTGGATTAGTTTTGCTGAGTTATTTTTTTTTCTTCTTTGCTGTAAGACATGGTTTTATGGGGGAGGGGATAAATGGAAAATGTAAGTGATATAAAAACTAAAGATATCAATAAAATTTTATTTCTTAAAAGATAAAGTTTCCACCAATTGAGGTCAGTCCAGGTCAATAATGATAACTATTATTATTATTCCTACTTTAGCTTTTCTACAGCAATTTAAGATTAGTGAAACAGCTTATAAAAATTCTTTCATTTAATCCTGACAACAACCCTGTAAGCCAGGTGCTATTATTTTCTCCATTTTTGCAGATGAGGAATTTGAGTCTGAAAGAGGTTAAGTGACTTGCTCAGAGTTGCCAAGGTGGGAAATATCTGGGGCAGGATTCGAACTCAGGTCTTCATATTTCCAAGTCCAACACAGTCTCCACTGTGTTAATCTAGCTGCCTTGGCCAGATCTCAAAGTTCTTGACATGAAAGTTTTATAAAAATACAAAAACAAAAACAAAAAAAATCCAGTGGTTCTTCAGTAAATAGACCACATCACCCACCTAAAAGAACACAGAGGCCACTGGTCTCATGTGCTCCTACTCAATACCACAAATAAACATCATCAAAAAAGAATAGAACTAAAACTGCTTTTGTGAAACAACCCATAAAGAATCTTAAAAGTTGGTAGAGGTCACAAAGGGGATCTCGTCTAACTCTCCCCTGGAAATCTTTTTATAACATCCCTAACAAACAGCCCAGTAAGCCTCTGTTTGAACATATACAGTGATGGGGAAACTCACTACCTCACAAAGTGGCTCACTCCATTTGGGAGAACTTCTGATAGAAAGTTCTTCCTTGCAAGGAATCAAAATCTGTCTTCTGCCCCTTAACTTCTCCACACTGGTCCTTGAGTTACCTTCCAGGAGAATACCATATGTGGCAAATTCTGCTTTCACATGACAACCCTTCAAATATCTGAAGTTATTTCATCTGACTGTGCCTCAGTTTCTTTATCTGTAAAATGAGATAATAATAACACCTACTTGACAAGATTGTTGTAAGGATCAAATGAGATATATCATGTAAGATGCTTTGCATACCTTAATACATTATATAAATGCTAGCTATCACTATTATTATTATTATCATACCCACTCTTAACCTTTTCTTATTTAGGTAAAAATTCCAAATTCCTTCACTCGACTCTTGTGACAGTTTTCAGATCCATAATCAAAATTGTTTGACCTCTTTTAAATGAACTCTATATGGCCAATGTCCCTCTTAAAAATCTGGTGTCCAGAAGTAAACATGGTACTTCCTGTGGAGTCTGTGGGACTATTATAATGAGACTATTCCCTCTCTTAATTCAGCACTATATTATATTAAAGCAACCTAACATGACAAATTAATAGTGTTAGGAAGACCACAAACCAGATTTTGACCCTGGGTAAGTCTCTAAAGCACTATGTGCCTCTCGTGCCTCAGTGAAATTTATCTGAGCTACAGACTAGCACCTGGGTTGGTAAGCATTGCTATACTGACTTCTCCATTACACCTCCACGCTTTAACACTAGTTTTTTTGGCTGCAATGTCACATTGTTGGCTTATATTGACCTCGTGCTCAACCAAGGTGTTTACCAAGGTCTTTTTCACATGAATTGCTGCTAAGTCAAGTCTCCACAATCTTGAACTCGCAGAAATTATTTTTTGAACCAATTTGCAGGACTTTGATGAATGAATTGTTAAATCAATGTTGTTGTTTTTAAAGCAGTCACCTTGGGAGGCTACATCCTTATTTGGGATCTCTCGGAATTTGTACCACATTCTTCTGAACTGTTTCAATGGTGGGAAATCGCTGCCCTTTGAGGGTGGATTTGATTTTTTTGGAAAAAGCTAAAAGTCATTTGGCCAAGTCTAATGAATGAGACAGCTGACTATTTCTGTGAATTTTCAGCTTTTTAGATCTGGCTCACGTTTCCAGTCATTTGAAATCTTTCCCAAATCTTGATTCTGTCATCTGGTGGCATATTGGCAATTCCTCCCCAATCTGCAAATATTATAATCATGCCTTCTATATCTTTGCCTTTGTAAGAAAACTTGGGATTTATGTGAAATATCAAAAGGAAGTAATCAACCATGCCAGAAATCCAAGTTTCTAAATTATGCACATATATATACATACACATATGTATATATACATGTCAGAAAAAGTTTTATAATATGCAGATGCCAAGCACTGTCATTTTCCAATATAAATATTGATACTGAAAGAGACTGGCCCTCAGACCACAGAGTAGCTCCATACAGATAACACTCTGGGGCAAGGTAAGTCAAATTACCATCCTATGGCTTGCTGGCTCCATTTCCAACCAAAGCAGTGATGGAGAGACCTGGCCAACAAGGCAGGAGAGCAATCAGTCACCTGGGAAATGTGAAGTGTCTGTAGCTGCCAATGAGGAGCAAGGAAGATACAAGCCCCAGCAAATCCCCCAGGGGCGCATCTCAAAGAACCAGGAAAGTTGGGATCTGGAATGCTCTGATCAGGTGTACGCCTCTTGGCTCTCTGCCAACAATGCCCTCAAAACTGCCAAGCCAGAGTCTTTTGAAAGGAAGCAAAATCAAGCTGTGACTCACATCACTCTACCGAGCTATTTGGATTCAAGGAGGGGGCACAGCCCTCTAAGACACCCACACTCATTTCCATCCCACCTTACCGAAATCAACATTCTACACTAATATGACTGATCTTTTAAAAAAAAATTTAAGTCATTCTTTATTTCTATAAAGAGTTTTTTCTGATTGAATTTCTTTAAGTCTTAAGCGTATCTTGGTAGCTTGATGTTCAGATTTTTTATGTATTTTATAATTATTTCAAAAATGTGACTGATTTTTTAAACTGAGCATCCCAAAACATGTCCATCCAAAAGAACACTGTCCCTCTTTAAAGTCATCTCCTTCAGAGGTTACACACTGATTTGGGCTCTCCTTTTGAACCCTACAGCACTTTCTTTCAAACTGCTCAACAGTGGGAAATCTCGGTCCTTTGAAGATGGCCCATGATTTTCTGGGAACAGCCAAAAGTCACTCAGCCAAGTCTAATGAATGAGA